TTAGTTAGTAGAGTTAATTAGCACGTATACTATATATTACTTGCATATATTGTGTATGTCCACATTTATTCATTAATGAAGAAGACACATTTTTCTCATCATAACAAACTTATTCTCATATACATGGTATCAAAGCAATGAGAGAGCTCAAATATTTTCAATCTCATCCTTATACTATATAAAATCATAACATCAAATTCATAAACTAGACACCCACAAAATGATATAATAAGTTACGGAAAAAAATTCACATCTCTTCACAACTAAATGAAGAATAAAATGGTTCAAACTCGTCAGAAATTACTCAAAATAATATTTATGTGTTGCCTTCATGGCTATTTTCATTATTATCAATAACCTCTTTGCCATTGAGTGCAATATATTCTTAAGATTTAATAGAGTTTGTATAATCAATAGATTTTAATTCACTATATTCTTCTGCAAATGTTCGGCATGTCACATCTACGAGCACAAATTCTGTGGGCATGGATTGTTTGAAGTAGGTGTTAGTTAATTTCGGTTGCCAATTTGCCATAGTTGCCTTAACTTCTCTAGACATTTGTTTAACTCTTGTCTTCCAGATTTCAGCCATATATAAATGTTTGTCTATACATGCCACGCCTTCCATCTCTATTTGTATACTTGTCACTATAGTTATTTGTGTTAGTATTAAATATGAACATATCGATATGAGAAACCTTTCTTTTGTGATAAGGATTTGAATTAGAATTTCTTTAAACTTCTAATTCTAGGTAAAGGATTAACTCGGGTTGGGATGCCACGCATAAACTGGTTTATCATGGAGCGGATTAGAGCTAAAGTTTTTATATTGAATATACATAGTTTTTATATCCCTTATATATTAATTGGAGAGTAATTTGGTTATGTGTCTTCACTAAAATCTCTCTCCCAATTTAATTATGACATTGCATTGTAAAAACATGTGACATGGCATTTTAACCCATTAATCCCTCACTAAATTAGTCCAAACTCATTAAAAAATTTAATCTCTAACTAAATTAGCCCAAACTCATTAAAAAAAAAATATCAATCCCTTATTAACCCAATTATCGGCTAAGAAGACAATATGAATGTTGTCTTCACAATCACACACGGCTATAGATATTGATATCTTTAGCTAAATATTAATAAAGTACATAAGTTGAATACTATATGTACATGTAACTAGGTTTTTTTTCAATTTTCTTGATTTTAATTAAATTTTAGGAAAATTAACCATATTTTTAAATGAGAAAACAAATTATTCTTTTATTGCAATTAGTCCACTAAAACTTATACCCACTAAAATTAAGGGACAATGGTAGAAATGTCATCTTTTGTGTGTATATTTGCAAGAATGCAACTTATGAGTGTCCATTTGCAAAAATGCTCACAATTATAGATTTTTAAAACCTAAATCTTAAAATTATAAACCCTAAAAAATGTTTTGAACCCTAAACCCCCCCTTAAAACTGAAAACTAAACTATAATACAACATAATTAGTCCAAACATAAACGATATAATGACTTTTTTTAAAGTGGCATTTTACAAATTTTTTGAAAATATGGTATTTTTAAAAATTTCTCTAAAATTAATCTCACAAAAATACTTGAATTTATCATATTTTCGTTTTTCATTCTAAAATTATATATATAATTTTTTTTATCATTTAAAAATAGTTTAGAAATTGATTACTATAATAATAAAATTCTAGAACATTTTAATAAAATATATATATTATTTTTGAAATTAATAATAAAGACTAACCAAAACAGAAATTTGCGGCAATTGAAAAAATACTATTTTTGGTGTGTACATTTGCAAGAATGCCACTTCGGGGTGTTCATTTGCAAAAATGCCACTAATTATGGATTTTTAAACCCTAAATCTTAAAATTATAAATCCTAAAAAATGTTTTGACCCATAAAACCCATAAAATTATCAAAACTAAACCTTAATACAACATATTTAACCCAAACATAAATGATATAATGAATTTTTTTTTTTGGAAAAAGTGGTATTTTTGCAAAGATTTTGAAAATATGGCATTTTTGAAAGTGGCATTTTTTGAAATTTCTCAAGAAGAAATTTTGATATGTTTTATGAAAAAAAAAAACTTGAGAAATTTCAAAAAATGCCATTTTTCAAGTGCCACTTTACAAAAATGCCACATTTTTTAAATCTTTACAAAAATTCCACTTTTTCAAAATTATTTTTTCTTTATATTATTTATGTTTGGGTTAATTATGTTCTATTAGAGTTTAGTTATGAAGGTTTAGGGGTCAAAATATTTTTTAGTGTTTAGAATTTTAAGATATAGGGTTTAAAAATCTATAATTAGT